TTTTTTTTTTTGAGAAAATGTTTTATTGTTTTAGTTAAACAAAAAAACAAACAAAAAAAATCATCTTTCATTACATCTTGTTGAAAGTGTATCGATTGGTTAAAAATATATTCCGTGCATTTCTTCCACAGTCCTTACATCTGCTTCATTCAAATCAGGTTGTACATTTTAAGTCAAGAAAGAAAAGTTATGTATTTTATTATCCCTGTACCATAATTGTCATTTAGTTATCATTGTTTAAACATGTTTTTTTATCTAGAATCATTTATATTAGAAGACACAACCACCTACTGGCGTTCATTTGCAATTTCAATAACATTGCACCTTTATAACATATTCTAACATTGATCTATGGAGAGTCTTAACCATCCAGGTCCTGGTTGTCCCAACGGTACTTTTCCAAGGGGCAACTGGACTTTCTGGTCTTTCTTTGAAGATGTTTCTCTTCTCATCCAAGGAGCTTCTTCAGCTCTGACTTGGTTTCCACCATCCAATCAGAGCTGAAGAAGAGAAGCAAAACATCTTCAAAGAGAAACCAGGAGGTGCCTCTTAAATAAAACCACCTTTAGGACAATGGACAATGGATGGAAACTAATCAAGGACAGAAGCAACCTAGAATGAAGGAGAAACTTCCTCACCATGAGAACAAGCAACCAGTGGAAGGGCTTCCCTTCAGAAGTTGTAGGTGCTCCAACACTGGACTTCTTAAAGAAGAGAAACGGGAGAAGATCTCCTGCTTGAACAGGGGCTGGACTGGACCTCCAAGGTCCCTTCCGACTCTGTCGTGATCTTTCTGTTCTGTACATTTGATCATCTCCATTGTGTGTGTGATGAATCTTCCCGAATGAACTCTTTGTTTTCAATTATTTTCCTTTCCTTTCTTTTTATTAGATGTCCTGTATCATGGGAGCTTCACCCATAAGCTGACAATGCTTTTCAAATTGCACATTCCTCCAGGTGAGTGATGTGGGGGCGCCATGTTTAGTCCTTGCTTCCATGTTCAAAATCATCCATGTAAACTGGAACCATGGGGTGGGGGGGGATCCAAGCTCAAGTCCTTCCCCAGCCAGGAAACCCATTAACCTAGGACAGGGGTCGGCAACCTGCAGCTCTGGAGCCACATGTGGTTTTTTCATCCCTCTGTTGTAGCTCCCTGTCCCCGGCCAGCTCCACAATTGATAGGGCTTTCGGTTAGGACAGGTAGGGGGAAATGGACGCAGCGCTAGGAGGAGACTCTATGGTGGGGGAACCGGACTCTTCCGGTCGGCTCCAGAATTGAACAGGGAGCTTCCGATTAGGACCTTTGTGGCTCTTTGAGTGTTTAAGGTTGTTGACCTGAGACATTCATCCTGCTGTCTAAAATGCTATTTGTTTCCTTTTAAAGTAGGAAGAATAAGCAGTGGCTGAGACAGGAACCACAAGGCACAATGCAAATGTCACCTGCTTTTGTGAAGACTAAAGCTAACTTTTAATCCTTGTGACTTCCTTTTTTTAATTACGTTGTAGGTTCTAATAAATAATATTGTTTTAATACAGTGGTATTTATGCAGTACTGACTGAAGATGATTGACACCCTGCTGTTTATTTAAACTGAATATATATATCACTTAGACCTCAATAGTCTATTGGGGGTAAAGAAAAAGAGAGACACTATATCAATATTTTTTCGTGTCAGCCTTCTTGACCATGAAGTTATTTAGATCGTTTTCTTCCATAATTGACTATAACATTAGGGGGGGGGGGGGGAATCTGCTGTAGATTGTGTCAAAAGTATTTGTTATCCAATAAAAGTTTCACTCTCGAGCCAATTGCTCAGGGTTAAGATCTCTCCTGTAATAGTATTTAATTTTTTTGTACATGTAGTAAGGAAAAAAGGAGAGAAGGAAAGCAAATTTTACAAACATTAAAATAGTAGACAGAAAAGAAAAAAGAGAAATAAGAAAGCATTATTGTGTTTTTAACCTCCCCTTTTCTAGGCATCTGCTAATTTATAATGTCAGATTTAGCTAAAGTTTCAAAAAGTTAAGGTATACTTTTTGGAACCCTTTAGAAAGCCAAATCCCTGTGGAGATTCTCCGTCCTCCTGGTCACGGTTGTCCCAAAGGGACTTTTTCGAGAAGCAACTGGACTTTCTGGGTTTTTCTTTGAAGAGGTTTCGCTTCCTGTCCAAAAAGTTTCTTCCGCTGTGACTGGACGGTGGGGAAGGGAAGGATTGATACCCCTTTCATCTTCCTCATCCTTCCCTTCCCCACCGTCCAGTCAGAGCCGAAGAAGCTCCTTGGATGAGAAGCTGAACGTCTTCGAAGAAAAACCAGGAAGCCCAGTTGCCCCTTGAACAAAGCCCCTTTGGGAGACCCTGCACGAGTTTGTCCGATCGCTTCTCGAAAGAGAAGGAGCTGAAGAAGCTCCTTGGATGAGAAGCAGAACATCTTCAAAGAAAAACATGAAACTCCAGTTGCCTCCTGGAAAAGCATCTTCGGGAACCCTTTAGAAAGTCATACGGTGCCTCTACCTTCCCTGCTGTGTGGTGTGTTGTTATATCACGTGTTGCGATTTTTAACTTGTCTCTGGCTTCTTTTTCTCTCTTTTGGCAGCTTTTACCGAAGTGGAATCTCTCAGCCCTTTGAAAGGGACTCAACTCTCTAAAGAAGAACTGATCCATTTCAGTCAACTAAGCGGTAAGAGTCCACGAATCTGTTCTGGCCGAGGCTTCCCAAAAGCACAAAACCCACTCCTCTTCCCGATAAAACCCCTTTTATGTAGCTCAAAGGGAATTCCCCTCCAGCAAAAGTCCCGGCCAACAGTCTTTCATGAGATTTCACAGCTACAGACCTTCATCAGGCTTGGAATAATAAGTCAAGGACCGCTTGTATATTTACATGGATGGATAAGGTATTTAGAATCAAGGATTGGTCAGTAGTACCATTTCCCCCTCTTCTTTATCTTAGTCTCCTCTCCCGAAGACAAAGACAACGCGGATGGCTTGAAGACAAGTCCTGAGAAAGGTAGGTGACCTGGCCGGAGCCAGAGATTTGAGATGTACCATTGAAAGCTGTCCATTTCAATGTGAATATTGTGTGAATATTGTGGCCTGTCAGCTGCAGACAAATCAGAGGAGGAGGAGGCAGTGTGGGAACCAGGGTCAGCATCAAGGCAGCCTGAGAGCTCCGAGGGAGAAGAGGGAGTGGAGCTGGAAGAGAGAGAGGGGCAGAAGTGGAGCCTGGGCCGTCTGTCAGCCCTCAGATGGAGACTGAACAGCCCCCAGGTCTGGAGGTGGCTGATGAGGAAGAGGAGGAAGAGCCGGGCCCAGTGCCTGACACGCAGATGCACAGATGGCAGAGGAGAGGAGAGCAGTGGAAATCTATGGGCTGGTCCTTGGGACGGAAGAGCCACTGCTGCTAGCGAAGCCCCACCCTAGCTCTGGGGCTCAAAGGCAGGGGGCGGAGAGGAATAGATGTGGCAGAGAACTACTCAGCCCCCTGCCAGA